AGAAGGAGAACCAGGATGGGGAGCATAGACGCCCAGGACAGTTTCAAGGAAGACCAGGGTGGGGTCAACGCCGCAGGCAGAGACGATTAGAGTCCCTCAAGTAGGATTTATGATTCTAAATGCAGATTTCCCATCCTAATTAGAACCACAGCTTTTGTAGCGCATGCCTCTGACTTTATTAAATACCATCCTACTTCTCATGCTGGAGACAAGAGGCCCAAGTTCTTAGCTCAGCTCTGTGACCGTCTTGCCAGGTGACTTGGCAAATCATTAACTTCTGGGGCCTCATTTTTCTCATTTGTAAAGTGAACAAGTTGGACTGTAACTGTTTGATGTTCTTCTGGCTTTCGAGTCCTGTGCCCTGACTGTGTTGGTGCTTTGCCAAGCTCTAGCCACGTTTCTGACTGCCAGGCTCTAGAGGCTAACCATCCAGCTGGATATAGAATTACATAGCTCTCTTATCTTTCCTTGATGTGTTTCTGTGTTGACCTTTCCTGCCCTGGAGATAACTATCCCAGGGAGAGTGGGCGAAGCAGTAGGTCTTGACCAGGCAAAGTGCCTTGCCTGGGTTTTTGTGAGATACACTGATAATCACCTTCTGACTTTGTGGCCTTAAGGAACCACCGAGAGTCCCTCCACCTTGTCCTCGACAGGAAAATTAACTCTTCACCTGCCTGTTTGTGAGTTGCCTGTGCACTTTTGAATGAGATGGTTCCTGTTCTGGTTGAAGTTAATTTTGCTATTATCTTCTTATCAAATTCTTGCCTCAGTATATCAAGTGTTTTCAAAAGTCAAGCTTCCTCTTTGCCCATGTTTTTCCACATTTGCTGATGGGTGGTACTCTTTTGGAACCTCATAAAATTTTTCCAGAAATACCATTGTTTAGTCACTAAGTCGTGTCTGACTCTTTGAGACCCCGTGGACTGTAATCCACCAGACTCTTCTGTCCGTGAGGTTTTCCAGGCAAGAATGCTGGAGTGGGTTACCATTTCCTTCTCCAAGGGATCTTCCTGACCCAGGGATTGAACCCATGTCTCCTGCATTGGCAGGCAGATTCTTTACCACTGGGTCACCTGGGAAATTTTTATTATTATTATTTTACTTTGTCTCAGAGGGTCTCTTGAATCAACCAGTGATTTCACTTTTGTTGTTTGTAGGCAAACACTCAACAAGAGGTTGCAGTGACCAGAACTCATGCTTAATTCAGAGAAATACTGCTTCAAGATACAATTCTCTTGAAGTGTAATTGTCAGCAAGAGAAACATCAGATGTATAAAGAAGTATATATAATACCATCATTAGCCTGAGACCAACCCTTGATTGTGAACTGAGCTGGTGACCTGCTAGGGAGCTTACCATCGAAGCACCATCAGCACCTTAAACAGTCACCATCGCTTCCCAAGTCTCCCACGGTGTTCAAGTACTTGACTTGAGTGAACTCACTTAATCCTCACTGCAAATCCATGACATGGGGATGTTATCCTCATTCTCATTTTACAGATGAGGAAGTTCAGGTGCAAAGGTGGGGGGAGTAATCTGCCCAAGTCATACAGCCAGGACCCCAAACCCCAAGAATTGACTTATTCCCTAGACATGACAAAAAGAATCACTGTCTTCAGAGCTTTACTGCAAAATGGAATGGAGCCCAGTTTGGAGGACAATATGAAGTAGAGCTAAGGTGGCCTAGAGTCCTGGAAGGAGAAATGGGCCAAGAGACCACAGTTCTGTTCCCATCTCTGACTCCACCGATGTGTGGCCTTGCGCAGATGATAAACTGTCCCCTTCCCCCAGAAGTGTTTCCTCATCTGTGGAACAGGGAGGCCGGGCCCAGGTGTCCTCTGAAAGAGCTGTAACCCCCTGTGTGGGAGACTGCTAGCTCCCTGTAGCTTGTGCAGATATTAAATAATTTATTCCAATTTGGCCAAGGCTGAGAATAACTCTCAGCATGTGAGGCAGCAGGCTGGCAGTGGGTGCCTCTCTAGCAGCCTCACTGAACTCCCTGAATCCCAGTCTCTGTGGGCACGGGGCAGGAGCTAGTCAGAAGACAGCCACGGTGCATCCACAAGTGGCTGCCTGGGTTTTCCACAAGAAACGGCTCTGGTGGCCTGTCTAGAAACCTTAGCATGCTGCTTAGCTGGTGGTGGTGGAGGGTCACGGGGACAGGAGACAAAGGGCATCTAGAATAGCTTTCATGCAGGGATTTCTATCCGCCTCAGGCTGGTTGTGGTCAATGGCCCCACTTCAGTGCCTCTCAGAGCTCCGCAGCCGTGACCCAGCTCCAGATGCCTGGACCTCATGTATGCTGATGAGGCTTGCAGACTTTCACCCTTCTGGTGTTCTCTATTTTTGTTTTTAATTTTTGGCCACAAGCAACATAGGGGACCTTAGTTGCCCAGTCAGAGGTCAAAACCAGGTCCCCTGCATTGGAAGGCAGAGTCTTATCCACTGTACCACTGGGGAAGTCCCTGTCTCTTTCTTTTCTTTCCCTTTTGGGTCACCGGTATCAAGCTCTGGACCCTCAACTCCCATAGATCTGGTCCCAACCCTGTCACTCCTGATGTCAGGAGGCCTTAGGGCCTCCTTGCCAGCCATTCCCAGTCCTTGAATGGGCCCCGGAGAAGGGGACAGAGTCCAGAGTGGTCAGCTGTCTTCCTGTTCTGTCACCACAGGACAGTTTTGGTGGAGTCATGTATGGATGTGAGAGTTGGACTATAAAGAAAGCAGAGCGCCAAAGAATTGATGCTTTTGAACTGTGGTGTTAGAGAAGACTCTTGAGAGTCCCTTGGACAGCAAGGAGATCCAACCAGTCCATCCTAAAGGAAATCAGTCCTGAATATTCATTGGAAGAACTGATGTTGAAGCTTTGGCTACCTGATGCAAAGAGATGACTCACTGGAAAAGAGCCTGATGCTGGGAAAGATTGAAGTCCAGAGGAGAAGGGGATGACAGAGGATGAGATGGTTGGATGTCATCACCGACTCAATAGACATGAGTTTGGGTAAACTCCAGGAGTTGGTGATGGACAGGGAGGCCTGGCATGCTGTGGTCCATGGGGTCACAAAGAGTCAGACACGACTAAGCGACTGTACTGAACTGAACTGACTGAATTTCCTTCCCATCATTTAGGTACAGAGAAAAAGAGTCTTGTCTTCTTCAACTCAATGAATTTTCCTTCAAGGACAGATCACCCACAAGATGGGAGAAGAGAAACATAAGAGATTTTAGGATTAGGACTCATCCTTAAATGGTTATGGTGCTGCGTGTTTTTATTTTTATGTATGTGGACTTTTGTTAGAAGAAATCCAAAGCTTCCTAGAATATAAATACCAAGTACAACTTTCACCTGGAACACAAACCCCTCAGCATCCTTTAACTTCCCTTTTCTGCTCGCCTGTCTATATCATAGACTTCCTGGATCCGAAAACTGTCAAGAACAAGGACCTCAGTCTTACTCTTAAAAAGAGCATCACCAGGCTTCCTGGGTGCTGAGTTCCAGGGCTTCATCTCCTTTCCTCAGGTTAAGCGTTGCACTGTGCTCAGAGGAGCTTGCTTAACAGAGTAAAAGTAGGAACGTCCCCAACCACTGAGCAGGGGACAGACCCCTCACATCGCACAGCCCACGGCGCGGGACCTGTGGTTATGGGGCATAGTACAGGGGGAGATGGTGAGTGCGTGTCAGTGATGAAGGGCTGAAAAGCAGGAGGCTGAAAGATCAAATCCACATTTTTAGAGAAGAAAACAGGGGGGCAGAAGTCCAAACAGCAACAGCCCCAAATTCCACGGGTGTGTTGTCAGAGCACACTCCATCCAATCGGCAGTCTGATCGTCATCAGCTGATCCACAGCTGATCATCATCACCCCAACATCGAGGGCATCCTGACTATCTAGTGAAGCCCTGAAGAGACCACTTTGAGCTTTACGATGGCTGGAGATGAATTTGCAACATTCCCGGGCTCTGTGTGTGCTGGGAAGGAGCTGGCATCGGGGTGGGGAAGGCTACCCTCGTGCCTCGAGACGTGACTGATGCCAAGAAATGAAATCGCTGAGCCTTTGAAAGGCTTCCAAGAACATCGGCATGTACTGCCTACCCGCTCCCCGCCGAATGCCTACTTTGGCTGTCTGCTGAGTACGGAAAGTGCCAGACGGGCCTTCACACAAAGAGAGAAAGTGTCTGGGGCCCATGAAAGGGGAAGGCAGAGCCTTTCCGATGTGAATGATGAGATTCAAGAAGGAGGAAATAAAGTGGCGGGGTGAGGAGGGGCCCTCAGGAAAGGTGGGAATAAAACGCCAGAGAGGACGGGGTGGCCGCTACCTGCCCACATGGGGTAACCTCTTTGGAGCTCCACACGCTCAGGTCTGGAGGTGTGGACCACTGTCACGCTGCACTCTGCACGGGATTATCATGGAAACATCCCCCGCTTGTAGGTTCTCCTTGTATCCAAGGGCCTCTTGATCAACTGAGAGTAAGAATTGTTAAGGCCTGCCAAGGCAGAGATCAGTGTACTTCTGTTTCCATTTTAACACTGGATATAAACACCATTTGTGCTGTTTGTCTGGGGGCACTTTCTCTGACTCTCTTTACCTCTGATATACTTTAAAAAAAAAAAATCTGTTGTAGTCCATTTGAATATCTTGGAATATATTTTTCTTCCTTTGGCTGGGTTGAAGCACGGAGGAAAAGTGCTTTGGGGAGAGAACCGCTCTCCTGCTCCTTCACCAAGCTCCTCGTAACTCCCCTGGCACAGCCTCTGCTGCTGGGACACAGCGCCCAGTGGTGTTCCGAGCTTTTCCGAGGAGGCGGTCTGATGTCATTGGTGGCAGACACAGTACGTATATGGATCTGTCTTTTGTCTGCACCATCTGTTTTTCTCCTTACAGCCTATTGTTCGGATCCTCCTCTTTCCAGGAAGTGTGCCTCTCCATAAGAGCATGGGCTTAGGTGTTTCAGGGACTCAGCTCATCTGCTAACCTGCGTTCCCCCTCTCTTCTTTCCTGCCTAGAATCTTATGGCCCGAGCCTTGTATGACAATGTCCCGGAGTGTGCCGAGGAGCTGGCTTTCCGCAAGGGAGACATCCTGACTGTCATCGAGCAGAACACGGGGGGGCTGGAGGGATGGTGGCTGTGCTCCTTACACGGCAGGCAGGGCATTGTCCCCGGCAACCGTGTGAAGCTTCTGATTGGCCCCGTGCAGGAGACCTCCTCCAATCAGGACCTGCCCACGTCGGGACTGGGGCCGCCACCCTTTGGCCAACAGAAGCTCTATCAAATACCAAACCCACAGGGCGCCCCTCGAGACAGCATCTACCAAGTGCCACCATCCTACCAAAATCAGGGAATTTACCAAGTCCCCACCGGCCATGGGACCCAGGAACAAGATGTGTATCAGGTGCCACCTTCAGGGCAGAGAGGCGCTGGGGGCGCTAACGGTCCCCACCTAAGTAAAAAGGTGAGTGAACAACAGCTGGATTTCTGTTCTTATTTAATTTTTTGCATTGCAGTCAAAGTATGTGTGTGTGTGTGTGTGCTCCTAAAATAAGAACTTGGAGCTTCCAAGAAGCCCGTCGAAGAAGTAAGTAAAGCTTCCAAGAAGTAAGAATATCTGAATACTCTAGCTTGCACAATTTTTGAGGTGGGGGGGCATCATTTTTCCATTCATTGGTCAGTAAAACCTTGAACACCCACCCCATGCCAAGTACTGTTGATCCACAGCCCTTACGAGTTCCCGAGTTGTGCCAGGTTATACCGCATCGTCAAGTGTTTCCATCTTTCTGATAGACCTGCTTTTACACGTGGGCTCTGCACTCCACAGTTTCCAGTCTTTTCTCTTTCTCCCTTGAGTGGTACAAGGCACCATACTTTGCATGAGCACAGTGAGGCAGCAAGGGCTCTCCTTTCACTAAGAGCTGAATCATGACCCCACCGGCCATGACGCCACACGCCTGGCTGCGCAAAGAGCCCATGATAAGTGGAGGCTGCAAGGAAGGGGGAGGGGGTGATGCCAACCACCGCGTTCTGGAGAGCTGTCAGCCTCAAGGTTGACTCACTTAACACATAGACTGGTGAATTCAGAGAAGAGCCAGCCTCTTGTCCTTCAAGTAATTCCTGTAATGATGCCTGAGGCTGTGGGTGAAAATAGTGGAGCTAGTGTGTTTAGGAAGGTATCATACTAAAAAAAAAAAAGTGAGGGGACTTCCCTGGTGGTCCAATGGTTAAGGCTTCGCCTTCCAATGCAAGGGGTGCATGCAGGTTCTGTCCCTGGTCAGGGAACTAAGATTCCACATGCCTCTCAGACAAGAAAAAACAAACAAACAAACATGAAACAGAAGCAAGATTCAAAGAAGACTTTAAAAATGGTCCACATCAAAAAATCTTTAAAAAAAAAAAATGAAGGACCTCTTCAGCACTCTGTAATTCCAAATGCTGTAAGAATTTGAGATAAGCGGACAATCTAATGAATTTTAAGCATCTAGCATATTTTCAATGCTTGTGAAACAGTGAGGAATCCAAGAGTGAATGAGGCCTCCACAATACTTACACTGTAGCGAGAGACATCAGCAAACACCAAATATCAGGTGGGGAAACAGCTGTGAAGAAAGTGATGGCCTTTAACTTGTGTGTGTGTGTGGAGGTGGGTGGGGCTAGGAGCCAGCTGGAAGATGAACCGTCTGTGCACATTACAAGGGAGGGCGTTTCTGTTTGGTTTACTGGCAAATTCCGAGGATCTGCAGCGGGTCCTGTGAGGTCTGGTTTTAAGAAGGGGCTCATCTAACAGAATGAGAAAAGATCACTGAGTCATGAATGAAAGGATCCAGCCAGACACCAGAAAGAGCTTGTTGATGTGGAGAATGTGATAAATACACACTCCCTGCCTTGCAAAACCCAATACAGGAGTCTGAGTTTATAATCCCAGGTAGATAATGGAATATCTATTTGCATGATAATGGAATCCTCTGTTGGAAAAAAAAGTAGGGGGATTTACTGTTGGAATCTTTTAAATTACAAAGCCACGAATGTATTTTCAAGTCACCTTTTATATGAAATGTGTGTTTTACAAAATGCTGCTCAAGAGCACAGATGTCGCACAAGCTGGTGTGGGAGGAATTCCTCAAGAAGTGAACAGTTTTCCAACGTGTGTTGTCCAGGATGACGATCCCAGTCAAGGGGTCATGGATGGCGCCTGTGATATTTCATAGTCCTTCTTATCCCAGGGATTTTAGATTCAAAGGGAGAGTCAAGCCAGGCCTGTATCACCTGGAGATAGGGGAGAAAAAGAATGCTTGAGAGGTGTTAACTATAAATAAATAACTTCTCTCATTCTTGGTCCTGGCTGTTGGCATCTTAAAAATAGCCCTCCCTCATCGGAGCTGGTGTGAGGCAGGCGGGGGTGATGTGGCAGGACAGGAAATGCTTGGCTGAAAGGTGGTGGGGTCTGAGCTTCCATCATAGTTTATTTTGGCAGGAAGGTGACATGTTTTCATTTTCAGACTTAAACCTTTTTCATCCTAAGCCTGAAAAGTCTGAAACTTCAGACTTCTGCCCTTTTTGTTTGCCGCAACTATTCCGCAGTTTGACTCCCGAGCCCTCCATCCACTTAAAGGGGAGAGACTTTGACACACCTTCCCTTGGGCGGAGATCGGAGTGCTGAGGTTACCCTCAGGCACTTGTTTTTGTTTTTTAACTCTAAAATCAGTGAAAGGTTTTATGCTTAAGCAAGAAGCAGGACTTCCTCCATAGGAGGAAGTCGAATTCTGGAAGGGCACTCACTCTGCCAGCCCTTCATGGAGGATGCTGCAGGCCTTGGGGAGGGTTTAGGGAGCGCAGGGGCAGACAGACGCCCCCCCCAGGGTGGAGCTTCGAGCAGTCCAGGTCTGAGGCTGTTCACGTGGGGAGGCAGGAGGCATAGCCCGGGCTCTCCTCTGCCAAACACCCGGTGAGACCCCTGGCCTCACCTCGAGCCGTCTCAGTGCCCCCGGCTCTGGGCTGCCACCTCCATGCTGTCCGCCGGACCACTCGCTCATGCCCCACGGGAGTGGGCTCATCCTCTTTCCCTTCCTCTCCCTCCCTCCACGCCTCCTGCTCTTTCTCTCTCGCGCGCCCCTTTTTTCTTCCCTCCTTTCTTCCTTCGTTGTAGTGGAGAGGGCTTGACTGCTAACAGGTCATTTTAATCTTCTGAGCACCAACAGCTGCTTTAAAAACTCCCATCGGGACTTCCCTGATGGTCCAGTGGTTAAGACTCTGCTTCCAGTGCAGGGGGCAAGGGTTCAATCCCTGGTCAGGGAACTAAGATCCCATATGCTGTGTAGATAGCCAGATGATAAAAATAAATCAAAGAATAATAAAGTAATTTTTTAAAAACTTCCATCAGCATCTCCCTCAGTTACAGAATCCTTGTCTGTGATGGTCTGTTACTGTGTCGAGTTGAAAAGTAACTTTGTGATTGATTATTTAAGAGAATGAAACATGAAATACAGTTTTGCTTACACTCAGCTTTCTCACATTAAAGTCAGAAGATAATCTTTTGTGGAAAAATTTAAAAACACTGAATTAATTACTGACACATGAAGTAAAGAGGTGTGATTTTTTTTCCGTAGCACACACACATTAACTCTTTCTTTAACTTATTTTGTTAAAAACATATATGCCCATCTGGTCTGAGCTTTGGCCACAGATTTTTCTTCAATTTTTAAAGCTAATAGAATAAAAAAAAAAAAAAACTCATTCTCCCTTCAAATTTTCAGTGTGAGAAAGATACTGGCATACTTATATGCTACCCAGAAACTGATTAATAGTATCTTTGTCACTTTGGGATTTAGAAGAATAAAGCAAAAGTTCTTTGTGTGCGTAAAAAAAAAGAAAAACCTCTGACTCAGGAGCTTCCCACTGGGTGAGAATCATACTGATGACTTCAGCCAAGGCCCAAGAGTGTCTCTCGGGACACGGAAGTGTGTACCAAGACAAACCCCCTGCAGGAATCTTGTTCGTTTGTTTTGAGTTCTCATTGGGTGGTTCTGACTCAACTAAATAGCCCCAGACCCAGTTTTCTTTTTTAATTTCCCATCTGCAAAATGGTGGTAAACCCAGAACTGGCCATACCTGGTGGCTTACGCACTAGTCCTTACAATCTCTTAAAGGAGAGGAAAGAAAGGCAGTGGAATGTGGCTCTGAACCACTGTAAGTATAGTTCTAAAATCTGAAACCACTGAAGTATGGTTTAAAATTTACCTCTCAGCAAGGAAGAGAGGGAAGGTGAGTTGAAATGCAGGTTCCCAGGCCCCGGGGAAGCTGGGGATTTTAGGAAGCTGGGGAAGGTGGTCCAGGATGGCACGTGGAGACGAGCTGTGACAGGGCTATGCAGGAGGCTGGATGTGTTCCAACCTGTGATTCGGGACTTTCCACAGTTAAAGATTCCCTTGACGCTGCTACAGCCTGTGGGCTTTGGAAGTTTTATCCACATTTTTTCTACTAATGAATCACTCAGGAAAAAAAAAAAGAGTGAATTCTGCCTCGTATCAATTCAACCTTACTGTCCGGGAAACTCCAGCCCCCACCCCGCTTCCTGCATCCCATCCACAGAAAATGACATTCGTCACTTATTAAATCAGTGGTTAGAGAAACAGAAAATCATATCATCCCCACCCTTTCCTGAAAGAAGACAGCATGAGCATTGTGAGAAGAGCCACTCGTGGAATGTTTCTTTGTAGCTGTAAATCTCTTGACAAGTGATCGAACTTCTTTAGGCTTTAGTTTCCTCATCTGTCAAATGGGAAGAATCATAAGGACCGCCTAGGGTTGCTGTGAGAATTAAATGATACACAGTATGAAAAGGACCAGGACCACAGTGATTTGCAGAGCAGGGCCTTAAAAAAATTAGTGCCTCTCCGTTGTGTTTTTCTGTCCTTTCTCAGAGTTTATTTTGAACTGATCATCTCTGTTTTATACTCTGCACTGAATATGCAAATGCTTTATTGCTAGTGTATATGCTGTTCCCGTGACTGTGTGGCTCTTTCTTTGGTTCTCCAGAAATTTTGCACGGAGTGGAAAGAACTCCCCAAATTATCTGGAAACCATCCACACTGACACCTTGACTTAATTTCATTGGTCTCTTTCACTCTGAGTTTTGTGTGCAGGGCCGCTATATCCATTAGGCGCTGTGGGCAGAATGCCCAGTGTCTACGAGAACCTTGGAGCATTGAATAAAAAACTTTGGCTCCAAAATACAAAAACTGCAAAATAGAAATTTATAGAAATTAGTAAACATTTAGACAAATGTGCCGGAAGCAACACAATGTCAACCTCATTAATTGTTAGATGTCATAACTATTTCATTACATGTGAAAGCAATCTGTAGGTTAGATTCTTCTCACTTTGCAAAGACTTCTAAATATGCTCTGTGATTGCCAAGAACTCACAGGCATTTCTAAATTAAATGAGTTACTCATAGTCCAA